TGTTAAATACAAAGTTTGTGGTCAAAAACAGCTCATAGCTTTTTAAACTAGTTCAATGGTTTTTAAACTGATAAAATTAAGGTTAGATTATAACAAAACGCATTAATTTAAATGAGGAAACTTATTAAATTTAATGATTTTTTAAAAAACCACAAAAACGTTAATTAAAAGGCTAGAAAAATTTAAAATCATTCAGAAATTCATTGAGTCAACAAAATCTTATATAGCTTTATAACATAGTTTTTTAAGCACAATATAACAATAGGCAGACAATTTTCAACACATTGCTTTTAGTACACACACTTTTAACACATTATTTCCTTTTATTTTGCTATATATATATTAAATGTGATCATATTTGTTTATTATTATTGTAAGCTATAATATATGCTATAACAGTTTACTTGTAATTGGATTTTGATGCATTAATGTTTTATGTCAAAAAGTAATGTCAAAACCATTTTGAAGTTTAAAATTTTTTAAAGAAATAAAAAAAAAAAATTTGCATTTCTTTCTGCAAGAATCACTGACACCAACTATGAATATCTAATACAACTATCTGTGAATATAAGTAAAAATTGATCAAAAAGATAAAAAAAACAAAACAAATGAATGAATGCTGAGATTAAATACTTATGACATTATTATTCTTTTTAGGAGCAGTAAATATTCCACATTCCACTAAATATTTTGATATTTCAAAAGCCACATATTTCAAAAAGGTTTATAAAAGGAATATATATATATATACACACACACACACACACACACACACACACACACACACACATATTTTTTATTTGCATTCACTCCCAACAAGGCTGCGAGCAACCACTATTAAGTTGGGAGTTACTAGGAAAAAAAAGAACAGAGTTATAGAGCAAGGAAACGGTTGGCAGAAGACTTGAAAAGTTGAAGGTTGTATGAGTCAGTAAAACAAGAAGATGGGAGAGAGTTCCAAAGGATTGAAGAGCGGGGAAAAAAACTAGATGAATAAAAGTTTTTAGAGCATGCAGGGACAAATACAGTAAACGAATGAGACTTAGCTGAATGACAAGTAAAACGAGAATGAATTTTAGTTGATGGAACTAGAGATGATAACTCCTTTGAGCAGTGACCATGATAGTATTTGTAGAAAAGAGAAAAAGATGCAACTTTACGACAATGGGAAAGAGACTCAAGCTTAGCAGATAGTCCAGGTCCAACAACATTTACAATGCGTTTTTAGACCTTGTCAAGAAGGGAAAGTGAATCGTTACAAGAACCAGCCCAAATATGACAACAGTATTCCATACAGGGACGAATAAGAGATTTGTAGAGGTAGAGAATGGTATCAGAAGTAAGGAAATGGCGAGCACGATAAAGAGAAGCAACCTTAGCAGAAGCTAATTTAGCAATCGATTGTATATATGGTTTCCATGAAAGGTCAGTAGTAAGCGATAATCCAAGAAGACGTAAAGAGGAGGACTCAGTAAGAGGATTGCCATTCATTAATATAGGAATGTTAACCATATTACATTAGTTGTTTGCAGTAAGCAATTGGGTTTTTTTAGAGTTGAAATCCACAAGCCAATCTATTACTGAAGTGAGATCGGATTCAAGATCAGCTGTTTGTTCTAGGCGATCGAAAAGAGAAGACTTTTTGTCAAGACAGGAGTATAAAGTTGAGTCATCAGCAAAAAGAGCTACTTTAGATGGAAAGTTGTCAGGAAGATCGTTTATGTAGATAAGAAACAAAACAGGGCCCAGGATGGAACCTTGGGGAACCTTAGAAGTTACTGGAAATAAAGAAGAGTGTTGGCCTTCAAGGATGACTTTAATAAACCGGTTAGAAAGAAATGATTTGATAATCTCAAAAACTTTCCCAGAAACACCATATGAAGCAAGCTTATGAAGAAGACCAGCATGCCAAACTTTGTCGAAAGCTTTAGATATGTCGAGAGCAATAGCCCTAGCCTCACCGCCTCCATCTAATGCACGATAAAATCTTTCAGTTACAGCAGTTAGCAAGTCGGCTGTAGGGCGAGAGGATCGAAAACCGTATTGATTGTCTGACAGTAGTTTATTTGACTCAAGATGAGATGTGAGGAATTTGTTAATCAAAGACTCAAAGACCTTGCTAATAACAGAAAGAAGACTGATCGGACGATAATTGGAGGGGTCAGAATTTTCTCCAGAGTTTTTGAATATTGGAACCACAGATGCCATTTTCCAACAAGCAGGAAAACAAGACTCAGTCAAACACTTGTTAAATAGTTTAGAGAGAATTGAAGAAAGTTCTGGAAAACAATTCTGCAAGACTGTGACAGGAATGTTGTCTGGACCACAAGCTGTAGACGAGTTTAATTGAGATATGACTTTAGCAACAGAAGCCGGAGTGATTTGAATGTTTAACAATGGGTCAACCTGATTGACTGGAATGGAAGGAAGAGAACGTCCATAAAATTCAAGAGTGGAATTACAAGAAAAGTTCTTTGAAAATAGTTCTGCCTTATCCTTGGGATAGGTAATAAGATCAGTCCCATGAATGAGAGATGGAATGTTAGATCTACCCTTGTTAATAATGCTGTTGAAGATTTTCCAAAAGTCTTTAGAGCTTAACTTCTGTGATAAGATGCGAGATTTAGTGAACTGAGAATAATGGAGTTTAGCATCAGAAACCATCTTTTTACATCAATTTCTTGCAATAATAAATAGCCGTTTGTTTTCAAGAGAGTTGTTCTTTTAAAAAAGATGAAAAAAATGATTACGATTGGATATAGCAGCCGCACAAGAAGGAGAAAACCATGGAGTAGAATGAGGCTTGACTTGAAACCAACGAGAAAGAATAAAAGCTTCAATTCCAGCCTGAATCCAGGTTACGTAGGAAGCGCATTTATCAGCTGAGAGAGAAAAAGCATCAGCCCAAGGACCATCACGAAGAAAATCACGAAAAGAATCCCAGTCAACTTTAGAGTAGTAGTAGGTAATGCGATGATAAGGTGAGCCCAAAAAAGAAGTATGAGAAGAAAGATTTATAGAGATCATTGCATGGTCAGAACCACCTAAGGAAGAAAAGGGAGAAACTGAACATAAGCTAGGGTCAGAGACAAGACATAAGTCAAGGAGTGAAGGTAAATGATTAGGGTTGTCAGGAAAACGAGTCACAAAGTTAACTATCTGAGTAAGAGATTAAGAAATGCAGAAGTTAAAGGCTTTAGTGCCAGCAGGATCAGTGGTGTTAGAGCCAAGCCATTCAGTGTGATGGGCATTAAAATCACCAACAACAACAATATTGGCATAGGGGTAAAGAGGGCATGGTAAAAGTTAAGTTAAAGAGGGCATGGTAAAAGTTATCGTTCTTGACAATGCACACCAAAAGCATTAACAGGGACACCTTCCATGCGCAACATGGCACTATAAATACTCTAACATTTTGCAGCTGTTGATGGAATCAGCCTCTCTGAGAGCTACCACAGAGTTCGGGAAACCTTACTACCAGCCAGCCTTAGAACCATTAAACTGATTTTTAGAGTTGTACCCTCATATGGAGATAACAGGAAGAGTTGCATAGCCATTATCAAGGAGGCATAAGCAAAATTCTATGAGTAGAGTCAAGGAGATCCAGTATTCATCATCCATCATCATCCTATATATATATATATATATTTATATATATATATATATATATATATATATATATATATATATATATATATATATATATATATATATATATATATATATATATATATATATTCATATATATCTGAATGTGACAATAACAGGACAGAGCAGAATGGAAGAATTAGCAAAATAAATTGCAAGAGAAAGTGTGCTGGAAAGTTAAAATACTGCAATATCTCTATAGCCACAACTGGCAATTTCTTCAATTATCCATGTTGAAGAGCTAATAAAACTTTGAGTTTTTTAATATTATTATTTTATGTGATATTTTTGAATATTATATAAGATTACAACACTGAGCTACTTTAAAAAAAAAAGAAGCAAACATACAACATCAGACAACTATTTATTTGTCTTCTACCCATTCACCTATTAGAATGCAAATTAGCTTAAATAAGCAAATATGCTTAAGCATATTTGTGAGCTTAAAACTTTTTGAATACCCAAGTCTGTTCATAAAAAAAAATTATATAAATATAAATACATATTTTTTATTAACTTTTTCTACTAAAAAATATTGACTATTAAAATATTAAATAAATATTGGTTTAACAATATATAAATATATACAGATTTATACACATAGATACATATTACTTTAAATGTTTAAATATAGACAAATAACATATGTAATATTAGAGTATAATTATAGAGGCTTTACAAAGGTTTTATAAAAACAAACAAAGTTTATTTAAAAAAAGCTTTTTGTAATTTAAAGTCTAGAGGTAATCAAAAAATAATGAGTTTAACTTTGGAGCGTATATTAATACAATTATTTATTAAAAATAATCTATAAATAATCTTTAAAAACTTTAACAAACTAAAGATTCTTCTTAAAAAACTCATTTTTAATCACATGACTGGATTCACTATCAGCATCAAGACCGTATAATCGCCTCATTCTAAATTTCTCTACTTGGGAATCAGTCATTCTTTTTATAGCAATGTAACCATGAATAGTTTCAGTAACAAGAAATACAAACATAATAATATTGACAGCCCGCTCAAAGGGTAGTATCAAAGTAGCCTCATTGAATAATAAGATGCAGCACAGAGGTAATTGAAGAATTACTGTAACCAACCAAAATCCAGCCAATTCAGGAACCTAAACTAATGCAGTAAAACAAAAAAAAATTTTAACTACAATTTTTGCACAGTACTACAAAATAAAAATAAATTCTACCCAAAAAATGTGAACCTTCCATCCAAACCTTTTGAAAAAAGATAAAAATTTGTTGAACAAAGTAGAGAAACAAAAAAAAAAAAAATCATGTAGTAAAAAATTATTACAGTTTTGTTAATATTCTAACAACATTGAACCAAAAATGATCCTGTAAGAAATGCATAAAATGCTGAATTACAATAAAAATTACCCCGTTTACACATATCTTTAAATTTAAATTGAATTATATAGGATAGGTTATGCAGAAAGGGGTAAACCTAATCTAAAAGGGGATCTAAAATGATCGATTTTGCTTTAACTCTAAAGTAAAATCAATCATTTAAAAATGCATGCTTCCAGTTGTAATAAATAAAGCAGCCAATCAGTTTCTTTATATTCTGCATAATCATTTAATTTCTTGCAGTGTTGCCTATGTACAATCTACAATACAGGCAATGTAAAAAAGATTGCACTGCATGACAAAATGATTAGGCAACCCAAAAAGTATATATAAAACGCTACATTTTTATTTAAAAACTATTTTTTATGGTAAATCCAAGCAAAGGTTTTACACCACTAAACAACGTTTTTAAAAATTTATTTTAAACGTGATTCAATTTTTATTAAAATAAAAACTGTTTTTTTAGTGCAACAAAACTATAAGACACTTTGGAAAAAATTAAATTGTCTTTTATAAAAAAAAGGCGTCTCAATTTTAAAAAATCAATGGTGGATCATTTTATCATTTCTTTTAATCACTTCAATCATTCTAGAAGGTTAAAAACTGTGCAACTTTTTTATGTACAAGATGACAATTGCATCCCATGCAGAAGCGATGGATGATTTTAAGTCAGCTAGTTAACTATATTGTTTACCACCTTAAAACACACTATGTTGTAGCTGTACCCAACCATTCTCAATAATATTCAGGTCTGGGGATCTAGCTGGCCATTTCAATGTTTTAATTTCATTGCTGTTGAAGTAATTCTTTACTAGCTTAGCTGTATCAACACTAGCATTATCATGCTGATAAACAAAATTTTCACCACCAATAACAGATGCTTCTTGTCATAAAAATTCTTAAACAATTAAAGGAAAGCCTTTACCTTTCACTTTTCCGTCAACAAAATAAACTTTTGATTTACCGTAATACCCAATCAAACACCAAATCACTACACCATTATCACCCAACTGACGTTGTTGCTGTAAAACTGATTCTTTATACAAATTGTGAAAATAATAAGTCTACTGACTCAGCCCATCATGAAAAACTCGGCTTTTTTTTGTCAGAAAATAGTATTCGTTACCACTCTTTTTTCCATGTTATGTGGTCTTTTGTAAAAGGTATTTGATTGTTTATGTGTTTTACTGTCAATGGTGATTTTTTCTGAGTTTTATGCACAAAAGGTAAAAAGCATTATGAATAACTTGCTAAACTGTACATAAATTAGCAATCACATCTGCTTCTGCAGCAATTTAACATGCAGTTAATGAAGAATTTGAGATTTATCTCAACACCTTTGGCCTAACACAGTCATTTAATGTTGATGGATGTCAGGGACTTTTGTTGACTCCATACATATGTACTATTAACATAGTTGCTAATCGCAGTTTGGCTGCATTAATTTTGGCTAAGTTAGAGACCACTTTTTTCTCATCTGGACTCAAAGGTACAGCACAACCCATTATTATTTAACTTGTTATTTTGTATCTAATTAAAAAAAACTAAATAAAATTTTTGACAGTTCACAACAGTTTAAAGTTAAACAACTGCCTGTAGTGTTTACATCAAATAAATATTTATAATTGCCCACAACTGCGGTTCATAAATAAAATATTTTTTGTAAAATCGCATTAAAAAAATACTTTTTTTAAAATAAAAATTCATTTAAAATAAGTTAAAATGGAATTTTTTAAATTGCCATATTTGTGTATGGTTCAAGCGTTATCATATATTATTAAAACTATTTTATAAGTTAATGGGTTTATCATTTTGTCACACAGTGTAGGTGAGCAATTATGACAACCAACAAATTTAATGACATGAGGTAATATAATTTATCGTGTTGAAAAACTCATACAGGAGCATTTGAATTCATCAATTTTTAAAAAACAGATACTCTAAAAAAAATTCTGAAGCAGACATGAACCATTTTGATCAAACTTTGACTTCTACAGCCTCTAGTTTTGTGATCACTTCAAATGGACCCGAAGGTTCAATACTCTGGTAAAGATTTTTAAACTCCAAAAAGAGAAGAGTTGTGTCTTCAAGTTGAGAATTACTAAAAGAAATACTATTAAGAATTCATCAGCTTTACACACTCCAACTTTAAGAATGTGGTTTGAACTTATGCTCCAAATCTTTTTCATAGTTCTTGATCTTGTTTTCCTTTTCATCCTTTAGGTGGTTCAAGCCATGCTATAACCTTACAAAATATTTTATTTATACTTCTATTCCATCTAAGCTTTCTAAGCTTAGATTGAGTAGAAGAATGTTATCTGTGTTACAAGTATCTAAGCTTGTGGCACAGATAACATTCTTTCCCATTACCAAAGTGCAGAACTAATCTTTAAGCTGTGTAACTAACTTAATACTTCCTGCTGAAAATTGGCATCTGTGATTCCAATTTTAAAATATTCTGAAAATCACTGTGACTCCTTGAACTATTGCTTGATTGGTTTTCTTATTACTATTAACTAGGTCTTTAAACCCTTAATTAAAAAAACATAAACGAGGTTGCCCATAAATAACACCATACACTAGGGAAGAGAGAGTTAGTGTTGTGAAACCTTTTATGGGACTTGTTACTAAAGAGTTACATTGTTAAAACAGTAAGGAAAGGGTCGGAAATTGGGTGATGTAACTTGTGGACAACCATAATATATTATCTTGATTCTAAGTACTTACTCTCTGCCAAACAATATGAATTACAATCATTCTGCTACTGTTGGATTACAATACTTCTGCTGGCTTGTTAATCATTATAATAGAAAAGTTCAATACTGCATTAGGTAGAAGCTGTGATACATAGACTATTTCTCTTGGTATTTAGATTTTTATAAAGTTTAGGATGTTGATCTTCTTCATAAGCTCACTTTATAGGGTGTATCTATAAAAACTTTTAAAATCATTTCATCATTCTTTTCTAATTGCAGTATTAAAGTTGTCCTTAATAAAAAGTTCTATTAAATTCCCATAACTTGTGGGTAATCAAAGGTTCATTCCTCATGCCTGTGTTGTTTCTTATCTATGTCAACTAGGTGTCTGGACCTGTAAAACACAAGTCTATTCTACAACAACCATTTTTATACTTGTTCCTTAATTCAATAATTTTTGTATAAAAACTATACACATCTACCTTTTAAAGTTATGAATAAAAAAATGATTTATAATTAATTTAATTTTTTTTGAATGTTTCGGTAGTTAATGCACCAAATGAACTGCTATTTATCAGTGGTTTGGATTCTAGTACCCAAAGCAGCTATTCTAAATAATACCCATTTAAAATGAGTTGATTAATTACAATCGGTATTATACAATATATAGTTTATACAACATTTGGAACTAGACTTTAAAATGCGAAAAAATGAACTTACAATGACCCTTATTATACAGGTCATGGTAAGTCTATTTCTCACTGACCATTTCTATACTCATATTTTATACAAAATTGAATAAAAACTTTATTAAAAAAAAACTGGTTCAGACTTTTTATTAAGTTTTTATCAAATTTTTTTCCATACCATCTGCAGGTTATTAAGACCTTAGCTCAGCTAATTACTTTTGGAGAAAAAGTTTGAATATAAAATCTTTTTTCCTATAAGTAAAAATGTTGACTTGTGTATCTATGCTGAGAATTTCGCGTAAAACATTTCTATCGATGTTTTGATATTTATTCAAATTTTAGGCTTTTTTAAAAACTCTCTTTTTTGTTTGTTATAAAATATAATATCTTTATTTATATTATGTATATAACGTCAATAAAACTTCAAAGAATTTTTTATTTTGTATTTTAGAAAATCGGAAAAAAATGATGTGCATGTGACAGGATTTGAACTCTCTCATTGTACCTCAGAAGCGCAGCGAGATAACAACCTCAACCACTTGATAACCATCTTGAGATAACCACTTCAACCAGGCAAACTAATCTGCCAATTTTAAACACTATTTAATAAACAAAATACGAAATAACTTTGTAAAACAGCAAATAAATGCTATAATGCAATTTTTAAATTAAAGTAAAACTTTATAAAAGTATTAAAAAAAAGCGAAAAAGATTAAAAAAATAACTAAATGTGCAATTATAAGAGTTTGAACCATAGGGATTCACTTCAGATACGCTGTGAACTTACCACTTTAGCCACTAAGGCGTATTGTTCAAGGAATGTTTTAACACTATTTAATAAACATAAGACTTGAAATAAAATAGCAAATAAATGCTATAAATCATAATGAAAAGGTGTTGCCACAATAAAATTTTCAAATTAAAGTAAAACTGTAAAACTTAATATAATTTTTAACATTTGAAGTTTACATGAGTTAGATATTTGCATACACTTTTGTTCATATTTTCTTATTAAAAAAGTACTGCAACACCTTCTTGTTATTAACTTGGGTGTAATGGCTGCTGTGAGTTCTGTGTCAAACACTGTTGATGATTGGCAACACACTGAGTCCTCTATTTTACAACTTCTCAGAGCATCATTTTCTTTGATTAAGTCTATAATTAATGAAAGTATAAATAACTGAGCTAAATGTTTTATATCTCAAAAGATATAAAACATTTTACATTTTTTTGTTTATAATATTTATTACAAACAAAAAAATCATTTACTTCCATGAGTGTTAATTTTAAACCAGTGATATCATACTGAATCAGATCAAACTCTTTGATCTAATTTAAACTGAAAATATTCCTGGTGATTCTTCAGCTTTCTAACTTTATAAAATTTCTCAGAACCAGACGCTACTTCTACATATAGTTCACTTTTTATTTGGTAGAAAAAACCCACTTATATTTCTCACTCATATTTCTTTGAAAAAACCCACTTATATTTCTGTTTAAGCAACTTTACTTTTATTTGGGTAAAATCATATAATAACCCTGAATCTGATTTATAGTCATCTGACTTATCTAAATAGCAAAGTAAACCAGCAATAATGGATTTTTTTCATTATCAGTAATAATTAAAAAAAACAGATAATAAACAAGTTTTGACCAATGTTGGCATTTTACTCTTAACTGGATATCTAGGGCTTAAAAAAATATCAGGAAAGAACTTTACTACTTTTTTTTAATTTTTACACAAAATCTAATATAATAGGATTCATTTAAAATGATTATCATTTTTATATAATTTTATTTTAATATATTTTTTTGATAATATAGAAACCCGAATGTTTTAGATTCTTTAGCAAGCCTGAAAAAAAATTTTATTTAAATTTTTAATTCCAGCAGCATTTTATTTTTAAAAAAATATAGAAAGAATGGTTTTTTAAATTTGAAAATTTATTATTCCTGACGCTCCCTAATGTACATTTGTATTAGGATTTGTAAATTTACAGACTTGATTTACCTGTAATTCGGTAAATGAAAATTGTAATACAGGTAAATGAGTAAATTACTGATAAAATTTATATCAATAAATCAATACAATTTTTATAACACCATTTTAAATAAATATCATTTTTCAAAAAGTAGCTTCGTAGAAAGCTTAGATCTAATTTTAGTACAAATTAGTCCAGCTCCTGAAAATACTCTTTCAGGTCAACACTTGTTGCATGAATGGTTATCAAGTAATCAAAAACTATCTGAATGTTCTTCCCTTGTATATTTTCTTGTCGAAAGTACTTCAACTCTTCTTTTATAACTTTTTTTACACCTTTTAAGTTACTTTCTTCTAAAACAACTATTCCTTTATTCTTGTTAGTTTGTTTTTAAGAAAAGGATGAAGTTTTACGTTAGTAGAAAAATCAACATTTGGTTTAACAGTAATGAGGTTGTTATTTAAATCTGAATCTAATTCATTTAGGTGTCTTTGAATACTCTCTCCAGATTCCCCATTATTGTTCAAAATATTTTCTACAATGATAACAATAGTTTTAATAATTATGGCTTTACTGCTAATATTAAAAATGCCATAACTGTCTTTAACAGAAATAATAACATTAGGGTCTGTTATATAGTCTAATACATCTAAAAACATCAATCTTCTTTCTTTAATACAACTTATTAATTCATTTTTTAGTGCAATACTTAAAAAAGTGATTTGGTTGCTTAACTTGTCTAACAAATTTTAATGTAAGATTGGCTACATATAAATTAACTTTTTCAGTGCAAAGTGTTTTAACGGCCAACCTAATAACCAATGGCAACCTAATAGGTTCCAAGCTTGATATTATATTTGAAAGTAATTTTACTTTACTTTCATTAAAGTCAATGTTTTTAAATCTATCAGACTTTTTCAAGCAGCATCTTTAGGTTTTTTAGCATATTTTTGCAGTAGTTTATAATTTTTGATTAATGATTTTCTGAAAAGTTTTGGATCTTTCCTAATTTTTGTAATTAAAGAATTAAACTCTGTGTTTTGTAGAACAAGTTGAGTAGTGTCGATATCTTTGTGATCTCTTCAAAAATATCAAGTTCAATTTCCAAATAATCAGAATCAACATTAAGTAATACATTATCTTCATGTTCATTGGCATCTCGTAAATCTACTGAACTAATATTATAAGGTGCTTTTATAATTGCCAATTGTAGGCCAAGTACGATACATGACTGATGAATTTAATAAAGTAACTTTACCGTTCTCTTGTTAAAGGCAGCTCCGTCTGATGTTATGCACACAGTATTTGACAAAGCTATATTAAACTCTTTAAGATTCTTTTCAATTAGTTCTGCACATACCTCAGTAGGTGCAAATCCATGAATCCAAGTAAATCCAAGATTCCAAAAATTACAATCATTTCCATGAATAACATTAATATACCTAGCGGTTTTTATTTAATGGCTACTTATTTGTGGTAAAGCTTTTTTATGAAGCTTATTCTGTGAATTTTCCTTTACAACATTTTTCCTTATTTTATTGGCATAATCCATTACTTTTATGTGAATGGTTTTGGGCAATTTTGGTAACTCTATGTACCCTTTTGTTTTTAGTGACATCTTTAAATTGTCAGATGTACAAAATTTATTGAAAGGAATGCCATCTTGTGCAATCATTTTTAAAAGTACAGCTTCAAAAGATATAACTCTTTTTTTGATAAAAGAAGTAATTTTCAATGCTATTGCAACTGCCAGTTCTTTTCGTGTTCTTCTATATTTTTTTAACTCTTTAGATTTTAACAAAAATCTTTTCGCTGTGACTGCACAATTTTTTGAATAAATTTTGGATGGCATAAAATTGACAACTAAAATTTGAATAGTAAATCTTTTAAAAAGCATAACAAACAATATATAAATAGAAAGCTAAACAAATGAACTTTTTAATTTAATAAGTTTTTAACACACATTATTAAACAAAAAGAAATGCAAAGTGCTTAAACCATTATTTTTATAAATGTAACTAAAACATTAAATCCAAAACAAAACTTATTTAATGTATAAATAAATATTTTTCTTCGAGACTAATTGGTTCAAAGTAATTGTTTAGCTCATACACTACTTGCACATTTCTACCAGTTAAACTTTACATTCTTAACGCTGCTTTCAATAAGAAGTAAATTTAAAGAAGTTTTTTTTTATCAAGGGTTACTCAAGATTTTTCAACTTTATAAAGGGATAACTTTTTTCAATTACACAAAATGCCTCTTTTTTTTTTTTTGATTATGTAGAGAAATAATTAAACCTTAAGAACAAACAAATCAAATCTATTTAGAACGAAATTTTTTGTACCAAACAAGATAAACTATGAAGCATAATCGAAAGCCACCACCAGCGGCCACCACCAGCTTGCAGTCAAAATTTATAAAAATCAAAAGCCGTTATCAGTGGCTTGCAGTAGGGAAAGAGTTAACACATTAATTTTATGCTTGCAGTAGAGAAAGAGTTAATTTTATTATCTTGTGATGAGCAAGTAAACCACTAATACTTCCACCTGCTATTTCTTTTTGCGCATTGTTTACATATGGCTATATTTCTTGTTTTTGGACAATTACAGTAATTCCAAATTAAACTTTTATCAATTAAAAGTTCTTTAAAACAACTTTTAAAACGAATTTAAAAAAATAATTTTCTTTAACAAAATTTGCAAAACAAGCTAACATCTATTTCTAACTTTGTTTAATCAGAGTTGTTAAGTTTACTAAAGTGTTAAGTTCAAACAAATTAATAATTTTATATTTTTAAAACACTTTTATATTTTTAAATTTTTAATCTATTGACAAAAAAATAATTTATATAATATTTATAGTACATTCTTTATTAGATAAAAGTATTCAGCAATTAGGAATTAAAACAATCCTTACATAGCAAAAGCTTGATTTACCAGTAAATTACAAAAATTTACCGGTAAAAAACTTGAACCAAATTTAGGTATTTACAGGTAAACCGATAACAGGTATTACAATCCCTAATTTGTATTACTCATTCTGGTACTCTTCTTTTCTAAGGATTTGATACAAAGAAACACATGCATAATACCTAACCAGATAGTAAATGGTTAGATGGGCAATTAATGGGCAAAAAGTTATGTACACTTTTCCAGACAGGAAAAGTGTACATAACTTTTCCTGGTTATCAGAATAACGATATAATTTCATTAATATTTTAATTTAACTTAAATGTACAGTAAAAAATACATATATAAATATAAATTAGTAAATATAAATATAAATAGTATCACAACCTTTTCTAACAAATTTCCTAAATAACCAAGAAATAGTCGCAGTACTTCTAAACCTCCCATCACCAAATATATAACAGCAAGAATAAACTGGTAGTAAGGGTTAAGCTTTTCAAACTAAACAAAAAAAAAGCAAATAAAAAAATAATATTTATCATAAACTTATAAATAAAATTATATATTATATTTTATTAACATGAATAATATAAAAAATATTAAAACTATTTGCTATTTATAATCAATATTAATATAACAATAATTAACTTGAATAAAGAAGATGAAGCTTAAGAATCCAAAAATTAAAATGATAAATTCTAATAGAATGAATACAAAATAAAATAAAAATATAAACTTAATTAGAAAGTGAGATTGCCAATTATCATCATTATCATCATCAATTATCATCATCATTATCATCATCGATCATCATTATCATCATCATTAACATCATCAATCATCATTATCAACCATCATCAATCATTATCAATATCATAAATCACCATCAACATTATAATCACCATCATTAACATTATGACCATCATCTATCTACAGTGATATAATGCTAGGTTTATGTCCATTCACCCTTTGGGTAACTATAAGTCATCTGTAAAGATTAAGATACTTTAGTATCATTTATTTTTTTGCTTTCAGTCTTTCAAAATTTATACCACTGCTCTTATTAATTTTTAGAAACTTTACCTGCCCACCCAAAGCTTATTAATACCCCTTCCCCTCCCTGTTAAAGTATTTTTAATTGTTATCAACAAAAAAACAACAACATCTTAAAGTTTAAAAAAAATCATAAAATATATGTGTCTGATAAAAATGATTTATCAAAATTTTGATTTGTCAAAAATTAGGTTTTCGTTTATTTTTTTTTAGAAACTGTTTTAAAGAATCTGGTGTATGGTCAAGAAACATTGTCTTTCATACTGGATTTGACAAATCAATGCGCTCTAGGCCTATATATAATATATATAGGCCTAGAGCGAGATATTATATATATATATATATATATATATATATATATATATATATATATATATATATATATATATATATATGAATATATAATATATATTTATATATATATATATATATATATATATATATATATATATATATATATATATATATATATATATATATATATATATATATATATATATATATATTATATATATATAAATATATATACAGGCTTTCACAGGAAGACGTGCGATTTCATGTCTTTATATGACCACGCAAAAAAAAAGTGTTTTAACGATTTGACCACGGCATATTTTTAAAATTTAATAATCCGCTACAAAAACTTACCTAAACTTATCTGAAAAAAATTTTTTTTAAATAAATAAATCTTAACGAAAGAGGAAATAAAAAAAAACTTAGTTAAAGCAAAAACACAAAAAAATAAATATATATATATAACGCAACTAAAACAAAACTCATCAAACTAAAATACTTATTCTATTTTATTTACGCATTAAAAAACCTTTTCAATCTTTGTTTCAACATTTTTATATATTTTTTATTTGTTTAATATGTTCAAAACTTAAATATTTCTCATAAAAAATACATAGTTATATAAATAAAATAAAAAAACATTTTATAAATACTTTTTTTTAATTAATTAGAAGTTTGTTTTTTTTACTTCAATAAAAGCGTTTCGACAATATAAAAGCATTTAAGATCAAACTTATTAAATTGTAACGGTTTTCTAAAACTTTTTTTTTTAACGAAATTTTGTTTATCTTTTTCAATGCATTAACTTTAATCATTCTTATATTTAAATTCGTTAAAGAGACTTTCGTAGTCATAGAATGTCATTGTTAATAAAAACATTACAATTTTTTATTTTTTAATAAGATTTATTTTAGAAATAAACACTTAAACAATTTATATGTTTTAAACTAAAAAATATACAACTGTCAATTATATTTAAAAAACAAAACTTTTTTTCAGTAAATTGTTACTTTATTTAAAATCACTTTGCTAATATAAAAACATTTGTTAAGAAGTTTTGATGTAATTAATTTCACTTTTTTAGAATATTTTTTATTTAGCCTTTCTAAAATGTTTTTTGAATTAGCCGCGGTCAAACCGTCATATCAAAATGTAACTTGCATGTCATATAAAGATGTGAAATCGCACGTCTTCCTGTGAAAGCCTGATATATATATATATATATATATATATATATATATATATATATATATATATATATATATATATATATATATATATATATATATATATATATATATATATATATATATATATATATATATATATATATATATTAGGGTGGTCCATAAAACAACTTTTTTGAGAAAAACCTGCTGACACCCCCTAAATGTGTTTTATCTAATGCAAAAACACTAGGTTTAAAATTTTTTTGAACAAAAATTATTTTTAGGGGTAGCTCAAGGCCCTCAAAAATTTGACGGGTCCCTAATATTTTGAAAAAAAAACTTTTTCTAAAGTATGTCAACCTGGTACTCAAAATAAGCAAAATTATATAAAAAATTTAAAAATGATAATAATTTTTTATAAAAATAATTTTTTTAGGTATAAATGCATAAAAACTATTGTTTTTAAGCTGAAAATAAAAAAAGTCAATATTTTCAGGTTTTTTGAGAATAATTTTTTTTAGGCATGTTTTTTATGTAAAATGATTATTATTTTTGAAGTTTTTATACAATATCGCTTCTTTTGAGTACCAGGTTGACATACTTTAGAAAAAGTTTTTTTTTCAAAATATTAGGGACCCGTCAAATTTTTGAGGGCCTTGAGCTACCCCTAAAAATAATTTTTGTTCAAAAAAATTTTAAACCTAGTGTTTTTGCATTAGATAAAACACATTTAGGGGGTGTCAGCAGGTTTTTCTCAAAAAAGTTGTTTTATGGACCACCCTAATATATATATATATATATATATATATCCTTATAGTGTAGTCGAAAGAGACTTTTATGGTAAAAAAAACTCTCTTTCGACTACAATTTTTTTACCTTGTCTCTTAAGCTGCATTTTATTGTCGTCGAAATGTCAAAGCAATTAAATTAATGTGGAAGTACATTAAATTTTGTTTTTTAAAAAAACCGCAAGAATAATGACTAGAAAGTTTTTTTTTAATTAGAGGTGTTTTTGTTTTATTAAAAAACATTTTTAAAACATATGTAAGTGTTGCTACATCGACTATCTTATAGCCTGCTGCTATAAGGGAGTGTTGCTACATCGACTATCTTATAGCCTGACTCGGAACGGAGTGCTGCTACATCGACTGACAAAGAGCCTGACTCGCAAGAGAGTGCTGCTACATCGACTGACAAATAGCCTGACTCGCAAGGGAGTGCTGCTACATCGACTGAGGTTTTGGTTTGGGCAGGTCAAAAAAAAAAAAATTATTATTGAAGTTTTTCAACATTTTCTGGTCAGGTTTATTAACGTGCTCTTTAAAACAACAGTTTATGGGAAAAACTTTGTGACTACCATGCAAGACTATATAAATAAATAAATAAATAAATATATATATATATATATATATATATATATATATATATATATATATATATATAAATATATAAATATATATATATATATATATATATATATATATATATATATATATATATATATATATATATATATATATATATATATATATATATATATATATATATTCACATATTTTCAATTTTTTTTTTTTTTTTTGGCGCTTTTTTGTCAAGTTTTTATTTACAAAATGAAATACGCCATTAAGTAATAGTTATTTTGTTGTGTTGGTTTGTCAAATTTATTACTGAAACTTTTTATATTAGGAGAATTTAAAAAAAGAATGCTTTTTTTTTAATATATTAATTAAAATTATTTGTATTATTGTTTTTTTATTTGTTTATATATTCTTATTTTGGTTAACATATAAATGTAAATAAATAAATAAAAATAAGAATTATACAAATGCTTTTATTTAGACATTAAAAAAAGAAAGATTTATTTGTCTTTCTCCTAATTTAAAAAAAATCAATCAGAACCTTTTTTATTTTTGTTTAAGTAAAAAAAAGTCGTTTATTTGGTTTGTTTTAAAATGCTACAAAGTATTTACATTTAAATGTAAATAAATGTATTAAATAAATGTATTAAAATGCGGTAGTGGTGTAGTGGTAGAGTTTTGGAGTTATAGAGTTGAGAGAGGGTTATAACCTTAACTAAGTAGCCTTCTCGTCTGTAGTGGCCTTCTCGGCCTTGAGGAGGTGAAATAAAATAAAAAAAAAAAAAAAAAAAAAGTCATGATCTTTACCCAATAAAATCATGATTCATTTTAAAATCTTTTTACTTGGACTATAAACTGCCTTAACAAAGTCATTTTAAAATCATTTTACTTGGACTATTAACTGCCTTAACAAAAGATTAACTTCAAAAAAAATCACTTCATCTTTCTGTGTAATATTAAAAACCAATTCAAAACGATTTTATATGTATATAAATAAATACATATATAACATATTTTAACTCATGGTTTTATTGAGGCCTGAACTCTAATAATGTAACCATAATAAATAAAAGTATAGACATGTATTTTCTTTGCTTTGCAAAGCTTGACTTCTAATCTTTAAAGGAAAAGTATTCGAGTATAACAAAGTTAAGAAAGAGAGAAAATAAAAGCTGCAACATTAAATTATCAAATATTGTCAAGAAAACATGTTTAACTTGTTGATAATGTAAAATATAGGAAATACACTTATTGGTTGACATCTAGGAAGGAATCTGCTAAACACATAATCATATTCAATAACTATGCTCTTAATGAAGATTTCAGTAAAAACCATTTCATTTGTTAAAGCAACATTTATCTAAACAACTAACTCTGTAAAGTATAAAATACATTTTCACCTAAAGTTTCAAATAAATTTTAATAAACTATATAATAAAAATAAACTTTGAAATTATGAAAAATGAAATCACAGAAAGTCTTTGCAACTGTACTTCATAGCAACTTGCAAACAATGAAATAATGCTCCACCAAAGATATTTATCATTGAGCTTTTTTCTGCCTTTATACACCTGTATCTTTACTGGTCAATGTACTTACATTGTCAGTAATAATTGTGACGACTGAATAAGCGTGAATTTCATAAGTGCAAACTGGCATAAAAGTGAATGGCCTAAGTGTGAATTGGCATAAGTTAAAATTGGCTTAAGTGAGAATTGGCTTAAGTGCGATGCAGTTAAAAAGACTAGCATAAGTGCGAACTGGCATAAGTGCAAATTAGCATAAGTGCGCCAAATAAACTTTGTCAGTGATAACTCCAACCATAAGGTTGGAATTATTACTGACAAAGATAATTAATCATCAGTATCATTAAAACTCTTCACCAATTTTGATTTGAATTAATGTCCTCACTAAAAGGTGAACTAATATCATCATAGGTGTTTTGTTCTTTTGGTTGTTCCTGTTTTTACCAAATAGCAAAATAGGTGGTTTCAATTTAGTTTAGTTTGAAAAAGTTTTTTAAAAATTCCTGTAATCTGTAGTTGAGAACCAAGTTGATTTCCGTTAATTTCATAACGAATATATAATATATACTGGCCTAATCAATTAACATCTGTAGATTGACCAAAAACAATGGTAAAAACCTTACAAAAAGCCAACCCCAATAAGTTGTCTTAAATTTTTGCTTATAAAAAGTAATTTAAAGAGATTTCTTGTTAAGCAGCCTGAACTTGCTATGCTTTAACCAAAACAATTTTTTATTTAATAGTTTTCACAATATTCATATTTTTTTAATTTTTATTGTATTTATTATTATATTTATGATATTTATTTTTATTTTTATTGTTTCAATATGAAATAAGTTTAAAGTTTTGCTTATTTAAAAATGTTTTTAACTGCTTGTCATAAATAAAATAAAAACATTCTAATCACATTTTGAATAACATCCATTAGCCTTTTTTTTTTAATATTTAGTATATTGAATTGCAATATTCTTTTACTGAACAGCTTTTTTATTTTTTACAAAATAATTATAATAAAGATTTTGATAAATATTCTGAAAATATTGGCTTTATTATTAAATACTCTCTGACTGGTATTAATTTAGTTTATAAATTCATTCATTCTTTGCTTGGACGTGTCATACTGTACCACCAGAAGACTGTAATATTACAACAATGTTTGAAAAAAAATAAAAAAATAATTTACATTAAAACTTTGCAAAAAATGTAACCTTAAGTGTTAGAACTATGAGACATATAACAAGCCAAAATGGTGAAAAATAACAGTTGAAGTATAATGACATTTGAAGCCATAAACTTGAGTTGACATATGAACCTTTGAAAAATTATAAAACAACTAAAACAATCTCAACAAATATATACTAATATTCTTATATTTTTTATTAGGAAAAATTAGGAAAAAAAAACTTAAACAAAGATTTTGATATTGCAAAAATTAAACTACTTTTAGCTAAAGTCATTTTCAAATTTAAAAATAAGTAAAAATCAACTCTTATAGGATTGTGCATATTTAAAAAAATACTTGAAATACAATGGCTTACGTCTTTTTTTTTAATTAATTTATTTATTGAAGAAATAAAAAGTAGTCATCATTTTAGAAACTGATGACTTGTTACTGACAATTTATTAGATATACAATGATATTTCACACTTTATTATTTAGAACCAAGAACTATACATGTTTTACGTATAGACAAATCAGTGGTTCAAAAGTTAAATATTTTCAGAAGTTAGGTAGACTAGGTAAAGCCCATTAGGGTTAAAATTATGATTCTGGAAATAAATTAAAATCTTGTTTGGAAGATGGTATAACTAATAATAATGGAAATAAAAATTTGCTCGAAATAGGGATTATCAAAAAATTTTTGGGATTAATATCAAAATTAATTTTAAGGAAATAATTCAAAAAAAATCAAAAAAATCAAAATTCATTCAGAAGGGATGATATTAAACATTTGGACAATAAGAGTTATTTTTATGTTTGTTTTTTTTGTCTAAGCTAATTTTCTACCTTTTTTTAAAGTTTTCCTATACTAAACTATTGGGTCATTCTATGCCAAGTGAACCAGGGTCCAACATGGACCCCCTTAGATTTTGATGGAACTTAGTGGGTTGGTTTATATCAATGAGAAAAGCAATTCCCGAAAATTTCAGCTTAAAATCTTATTGCCATTTGAAGTTTCTGATTTTTTCAAAAATTAAAACTTTCTTAGCAAAAACATGTTTTGATCATACTTTGAAGTTCTGTATTTTAAAAAAATTAAGAAGACTTTCTACTTTTTTTTATTATATACAACTGTAGACTTACTTTTTTAATACCTTGACATTTAATTTTTTAATGTCACATTATATCCATTAAGTTATAAACTAAGACTGAATTAAACTCAGTTTTAGAATAGCCTTAGTTGCCTCCCCTCCCACTGTCCATTTACTTTTTAAAATGCATATTTTTGCACAGAACATTCTTATTATAAGAAGAACTTTTTTCTTGATTAATTTTATTAATTATTTATTAAACATTTTACCTTAAGCGGTGTGTCATATAAAAGCTGTGACATTTAGTTTGTAAAGTTAGATAGTAATTATAGCACATATAAAAGTAGCACATTAGGTAAATAATGAAAGTAAAGACTTTTTGTTTTATTCTTATTATGTGCCCAACACATATTTGTTTTCATATCACTTATTTACTTGCTATTTCATATTCTGACTATAAATTTTGTAAAATTTTTCCAAAAGCATTCGCTATTCCGCCCTTCCCAATTTATTTGAATATCATCATTTAAATCTAGGTTACAAATTATACCAAGTGATAAGAATTATTCGATTTGTCATCACAATACACAAGTTTATTATGTAATATATATTATGTAATAAAAATATTATTATATAATAAAAAATCAATATAAAAATTGAACCATTCAAATTTGCTTTAATAAAAAATTTGGATTGATCAAATTAATAACAATTTTTTATATAATTTTGTTATTATATATATTATTGTACAAATGGAGTATTTCAGTTTTTTCATGAGCTGATAGTTCATAGCATCTACCAGTTGCTGATTGCTTTTTTAAAGATGAAATTTTGCATAGAACATGCGTAATTGGAACCCAGCAAATATATTCTCTAAGTGAACAAGTAAAAGTGTTTGACGAAATAGACTGCTTCATGAACTTTATAAGGATATCCTGATTTTCTTCAGTTATTTCCACAATATTACCTAAAAGCCATTTTTCATCATAAACACATGCTATATAAATTCCTGGTGAAAGAGAGGCTCGTGGAATCATTTAGTTCTGCTGTATTGTTGAAATATTTACATTAGTAATCACATTGTCGAACAATACCTGCCTCATCTGTAAAATTGTTAATGATTTTGGTACAAAACAATAATGGTTTCTTGTTCCTGGAATTGTTGAACAAGTAGTATAACGTTATTCTAATTTAAAATTTATGCAATGTGATGTAACTGCATCATTTAAAATGTCTTGACAATGTATTACAAATGAATTATTTTAAACTTGCCCTTGCTACAAGTCTTTTGACAGTGCCCCCAACACCATCACAAGCACTCTTTCCATGCAATGTAGCAAAAAAAAATGCCATTCTGCAGATATCTCATGATCTTGTTCATGGTGACATAAGTTAGATATGTTTTTATAATTTTTGTATTGTGACTTGCACCATCAATGAAATAAATGCAATAGTTGAAGTAGGGTATTAACTACTTTAAATGTTTTAATACTTCATGAATGAAAAAATGAACTAAGTTTGTATTGTGTTGCAAATGATCTGAGAGGATACAAATACTTTTACATTTTATCTTATTTTCTTCCATAAAGTAAATAACAAAAGGATGCAATGTTGCTTGGCTGTTGTTACAATAGAAACCTTGTACTGCATCTTGAATTAAAAAACCATAATTTTCAGCAAAGTCTAGTAATATTAAAATATGATAACTTGGTAATGTGATTTTTAGATGCTGCAAGTATGCTGCTTGATTGATGGCTATACAGTGATGGTCTCTTAATTAATCTATTTGTTGACAAGCTTTTTCAATAAAATCATCCACTGGAAGAGTTACTGGAACTATATCAGGTTTTTTGTTAACTTTTTGCCACTGATTAAATGTGATTTCTTCAATGCTATGTTTATCAAATATAGTAGTAAGATACTCTTTAAGTGTGTCAGTATCTGGGCAATTATCACAATTGTGCAGCATGCAGTCTCTATTTGTTAAGTCACATACAACTAATATCAAAAGATTTTTATATTCTAAATTATCTGGTATTTTTAATGCTAAAAGTTTGGCATTCTGGTTGTACTCACAAACGCATAATGAGCGGAGACCTAAACCACCTCCAACAGGAATACACCACTTTGGTCTAAGTTCGCAAAACTTAGAAAATATAATCTTGACATCTAAGGAAATTTTAACAAACTCTAAATAAAGTTCTTTTATATTAAGTAATAGTAGTTTTTTTTGAAAATGTTGTTTTTTAACCATCAACTTGGGTTGTTTTTTCCCAAGAGTATTCATCTGATTGGTAGAGTTCATGAACTTGATTTTTTTCTTTCTCACTAATAGGTCTTCCTTCTTTTTTAAACGGTTCTGCCATTATGCCATGCATTTGTTTCAAGTGTCTTGCAGTTTTTATCATTCTTTGAGAAGCAGAAAAATAATTTTGTGTATAGTCAATGTTCCAACTCTAAGGAACCAAAGTTAGTAATTTAAGTTTTTCTGATTTTGAAGAAATATCAAACTTTGCTTTAATTAATTTCAAGTCATGTTTACTGCCACAACAGCTATTTTGTTTTTGGTTCATCATTTATTAAATCGGGAGAACTTCTAAAACAGTTGCTATGTTTTTTTTGGTAGCAGTATGGATCTTATTCATCTTTCTAATTGCATAGCTGAACCTGTCTTTATGGACTACTAGTTTTAGAGGTGAACAACCAAGGCTATTAATGCTTAAATTAAAGTTTTCTTTTGAAATATGATTCTCATTAAAATCATTGTCTTTATTTTTACATGAATCGCTTTCATAATCTTTTTTGTTATTTTTTGAATACAATATTTTATGACATTCTGTACAAATCTTATGACCAGGTATTAAATCAAATTCCTTTGCTCCTGATTACTCTGAGAGATTCTAAAAAGAAACAAAATGATAAAACATTAAATAAGCGTTTATCTTTGAAATAATCAATAAAGTAAAGTTATTTTTAAATACTTTTTATTTTAGTTTTTTTTTTGTTAAATGGATCACAACAAAAGCTTCCATCGTACAAAGAAATCTATTCAAAAAGATCTTTTCATGGTGATAACAAATAGCTTTTATATGATTAACTTTACATCATAAGTGCACAAGTTCTAGATCTTTTTTGGTTAATTCCTCAAAACATTTAATTTTCTTGAATTTGGTAAATTTTCCTTCAAGACAATCTTTATTTAATGTTTTTCCAATGCAACATTGAGTTAGATCTAAAGATGCACGAGCCATTTATTTTAAATTATTATCTAGAAAAGTTTATTTAATTTCAATTTTTGAAGTGTAAAGTAAAGTTTCCATGAGTTTTGACATAATTAAACACAAAATGATAAATTTTATATATAAAATAAAGATAAAAAGTACACCCAACAACTTGTTTATCATTTCTAAGCTTTTAAATGTTTATGTTCAATTCTTGTTTTGCGCATACACTTCATGCATTTTAAAAAAATCAGTAAAACTTTCAATAACAAATTTCTTTTAAGATTAAGGTTCTGTGCAAAATTATGCATGTTAAAAAATAAATGGACAGGGGTGAGGGGAGGCAACTAAGGCTATTCTAAAACTGAGTTTAATTCATTCTTAGTTTATAACTTATTTCTAGTAATGATTATGATATACTTTTATACATTTATATTTTTTGCATTGCAGTAGATAACGAAAACTAAAGTACATCAATACCTATATTTTTATCGTTTTTAATGCATTTTGTGCTAACTTCATTGCTCTGACTTTGTCACTTCCCCATTAGTACCCACTAGTTTTTACTAATGAAAATCAGTGTTGATCCTAGGATACCGGTGGTTTAAAGGGAAGGCACAATTTTTAAAGTTTTACCTTTTTAGGTAGCCATTTTTAGGAGTCCATTATTTCTTACTGAATCATGTTATCAGCAAATTTTTAAATATTAGGAAGCCTACCATATATAGAAACTAAAAAGATATGTCTTTTCACTTCTTAAGTTGCTAATTTTGTATATTGACCCATCAAAAATTAACTTTTTATATCTGCAAACAATTTTTAAGATTTTTTAGGCAGC